AATGCATGAGAATTCGTTAGCATCTTTAGTGTTAGCTTGTAGCTGTGGGGAAAATGTCCAATAGAAATGCTCTTTATTGAACACAAGCATAAGAAGATTGTGTCCAAAAGCTGGATAAGATGCTGTTAAAATGAAAGTAAATTTCAGCTTATTAGCAGTGAGGCTAACTAACCCATGAGAAACTTACTTAGAGATATACTGGATTCTACATGCCCTGAGGTTTTAACAACGAGGTTAGTTGTCTCCCTTTAGAAAGAAACAAAACCCCAAACAGTAAACCCCAATACAAATAGCAACTATTTAGTATGCTTATAAAAAAACCTCCCAACTGAATAATGTAGAAATGGTTGCTATTTTGAAAACTAGGAGACAAAAAGCACCAAATACTCAATTTTATTTTCACTGAGTAAATGTAAATAAATTTTTGTAATAATTTAATTTTAGGTCTGAAAACCTGTTCATGGGAAACTTGCTGAACTCCTGTTTTGATGACCTAATTCATGACAGATTTAATCTTGTTGGGAGTAGATTCTAAAACTAGAATACTAGCTTAGTTCAAGAAAGGCCCTAAGTCATTCAGATGGATCCCTCCCTTGAGAACATTTCATGGAGTCCTCTTTGTGGACATTGCTTTCCCACTCTCTAAACAGAGTAATCATTTGTTTTCCGTCAAATGTTCTCAGGGTAAGCTTCAGAGAAATTAGGTAGAAAGAGGTTCACTTAAAATGGCAGTGTGAAATTTCCAGTCCTACTTAATGCTGCAATTTAATACATCAGATCATGAAACAAAGAGCAATTTTGAGCAGGGGGTTGGTTTTATGTTTGGCTGACATGTCTTTTCAGTAGGTATGAGATCCTTGTAAATCTTAATACAGCTGTTCAGCAAAGAGTCTGAAATAATGAAAGCCCTTCAGGTTCTTTCTTACATGGAAGTAATGCAACAGTATAGACTGTATAGTTAATAAATATTGTTGGATTTATTCTGGCTACATCTTAGAACACCTGTAAAAGTCTTAAACCAAGACTTCAAGTGAACATACTCTTAGTAAGAATTTCTTTATTCCAGTTCTTTGCCTGTTCAGTGTTAACTTTTTTGTTTTTCCTAAGTATATTTTCAGTGAACATTTATGGACCTTCCTAAATTGTTTATTCAAGTCAGAGGTGGTGACAGCCATTCTATGGCCATCCTTCAGGGCGTATTCAGTATCAGATGACATAAACAACTGATACTTTTCTCCTTTTGGCTCTTCATGCACAATGTCTAAGCATATGCATTCCTCCCAGTTGGAGACACTGGATTGTCAAAGCTGATGTGCACCATACTTGGTATGGACAGTACTTTCCAGCCTTCTATTCTCAAACTTCTGCCCTGCATTAAACCTTTGAATAGCCTGATAAGACCAGGAAAAAGTTCCTGTGAAGTGGGAGATGTGATGTTGCTCAGTTCTTTGCATCAGGTAGTACACACCAAAGGGACCGGAGTTGCTTCCTTGAAGCCCCAAAGGATGTATCTAAGGATGGGAATCAACACTACTATCCTTACTATCATCCTTACTGGTCAGCTTAAAAGCCAGGTTCTCACTGTGCTGGCACAGGGCAGTTCACTGCTTTGTGGGAGCCCATGCAGGGGAGCTCAGCTGTCCTCTCCAAGCAGAGATGCTGCCTTGTCCGGGGACTGCATTCCCCTCCGGAGAGCTGAAAGTATTATGGAAGCTGACTTCCAGCCATCTGAACTCTTCTGTCACAAATGACCCTCAGATACTAAAAAGTGCGTGTGTATGTGTATATATAAATACAATTTATTTTGACCAGGGCATACACAAACATTATGCATTGAACTACAGGAGCTGTGGCACTGGAATGGGGGAGACATGGGAGGAAAACCTAATTCTTTTCATTTGTGTGTTTCACTGTTGACAAGCACCACACCACCTCAGTTCCATACAGCCCCTAAGTTTCTGGTCATTGTGCAGTCTGGCTGTATGCCTTTTAGTCTTTATATATATATATACATATATATAGTGTCAACAATTTTAATGTCTTAGAACTGTCTATGCCAAGATTAGGGTGATTTTTATACTAAAATTTGTGCTAATATTGATAACACTGACATATTTGAGTATCTTTGTAGACATCATATTTTGTATGTTGTTTTTGATATTAAAGGATATACATTTTGCTAGCCTTAACTCCATTCTTTAAAGAGCTGCTTTGTTAGAAGGGTAAGAAATGTCTCATGTTTCTCATGGTGCTAAAGTAACTGTGATCAGTCTTCAATTATTCAGAATAAAGATGATGGTTCTTAAGCACCCTGTTTATTACTGCATGCATAATTTTCAGTCGTTCTCTTGTAAAATTTGCCATTTAAAAAAGTAATTTTGTATTATAGTCTGGTAATTATTGTCTCGTGCAGACTTCATATAAAAAGTCTTTATGGCTTTTATCACAACTGTATTCTGATCAGAATGTCCCTATTACATTTACTCCTAAATTAATACATGGTGCAACACGTTTCATTCTGATTGGGCTGACAATCTGTTTTAAGACCAATGGTTTATAAACCTAAACTACTGACCTAGAGTTACTTGTTTCTGAAAATTTTATTTGGTCTGGGGTTTAATATCAAACTTAACCGTTGCCTTCACAAAAGGCAGAAGTAAAATTGAGGGAGGGGAAGCTGACAGAATAAATTTGAGTGGCATTTTAAAAGAATTCTGTATTTTTGTGCTTCATGAACTGCCAGTGTAATTCAGTGGAATCTTTGATCATTTACTGGCCTACTACCAATTTCACCTTGGCTTACCTTGGCAGCATGAAGTGTTTCCTCATTGACAGCTTCAGTAAATCATAGGAGTTCATTTGCCTTCTCTCTGTATTAGGGCCAAGTATTTCCTTCTCTTCAATAAACATACCTGATAAGGTATGTTTAATGGGAATATTTCCCATTCTACCTGGAATTAGTCTCTAGCCTGATTATATTTCAAATTAAAATTTGAAAAAGATGCCCAAAACCTTTATATGAACCTTAGTGCTGTTGCAATTTGTATATTCTCAAGGTGTACTCTTTGTAAGTATTTAAAACAAAAATTAGCCTATAGAATACATTTCAAATACTTCTGTACTTTTAAAAGGAAGCTATTTTTATACAGCATTTGCAATGACGGCTAACTAACAAGGCAAAATACTAATATCTAAAAATGCAGTGTGCCATTGGGGTTGGTTGATCCTGGCTGGACACCAGGTTTGCACCAGAGCCATTCTAACACTCCCCATGTCAGCTGGACAGGGGAGAGAAAAATGTAACTGAAAGGCTCGTGTGTCAAGATAAGGACAGGGGCATCATTCACCAATTACTGTCACAGGCAAATCAGACTGGACTTGGGGAAATTAGTTATTACCAGTCAAATCAGAGCAGGATAAGCAAACCTTGAACCACCTGCCCTCATCCCTCCCACCTTCCCAAGCTCAACTTCACTCCCAGTTTCTCAGCTCCTCCCCTGCAGTGGTGCAGGGGGACAGGGAATGAGGGTTGTCATCTGTTCATCACAGGCTGTCTCTGCCTCTTCTTCCTCCTCAGGAGGAGGACTCCTCACACTCTTCTCCTGCTTCAGTGTGGAGTCCCTCCCACTGCAGACAGTCCTCCGTGAACTTCTCCAACGTGAGTCTTTCCTATGGGCTGCAGTTCTTCATGAACTGCTTCAGTGTGGGCCCCCTTCATGGGGCGCAGTCCTTCAGGAAAAGGCTGCTCCAGCATGGGCTCCTCTCTCCAAGGGACCACTGGTCCTGCCAGAAGCCTGTTCCAGCTTGCTGTGGGGTCACAGGCTCTTTTGGGTATCCCCCTGCTCTAACGTGGGGTCTTCCGTAGACCTTCATGGGCTACAGGAGCCAGCCTGCCTCACCATGGTCTGCACCAGAGGCTGCAGGGGAATCTGGTGCCTTGGAGCACCTCCTGCCCTCCTTCTGCACTGGCCTTTGAGTCTGCAGGGCTGTTGCTCTCACGTATTCTCCCTCCTCTCTTCTGACAGCTGCTTGTGCTGCACACGGTTGGTTTTTTACTTTACTTTCTTAATTCTGTTATCCCAGAGGCCCTACCACTGTGACTGACTGGCTTGGCCTTGACCAGCAGTGGGTTGGCTGACACTGGCTCTGTCAAACACAGAGGAAGCTTCTGTCAGCTTCTCGCAGAAGCCACCCCTGTACCCAACTACCAGAACCTTGCCATGCAAACCCAATGCAGACTTGTATATCACGTTCAGAAAAGTGCTACTATTATTTTAGACTTGAAATAATTTCAGTTGGAAGTCTCTACTGATGGACATATGAACAGCAGCTCAGCAGTGTTCTGTGGACCTGAGACAGACTGTACTCCTTGCCAAGCTATTACCATGGCTATGACCAACCAGATGCAAATGCTATCTTGCATGGTTATTTGTTTGTACCCACGTTCTTTTTTCTGATGTGTACATCCCCTCCCGCAGGTTATCCTCACCTGCAGTTGTACCTGCACCATGGCAGCCACTGCCAGGAGAAACAAGACTAGGCTGCTGCAATTCATACGCAATGTCTGCTTTATTCTAGCGTATATTTCTGTTCAGAACAACATGGAAAACGACAAAAAGATCCAGGTTCGAATTATCTCGGACTTGTTTGTGAGGCTTAAAATTCCCAGTGGAAACGCTATATCACGGGCCTGTAGCTGTTTGCAGCGTGCGAGCTCAGGTGTTACTGCCCCACTGCTACCACTCCTAAAATCCCGTTCAGAGCGGTGCAAAACGGGGCAAAAAACCCCCAAAACCACCTGAGGTGGAAACAGCGACGGCACGCGTACACCCCGCACTACGGCACTACGCCCACCCATGGGCGTGTCCCCATGGTAACGGCAGTGGGCGGGGCCCCGGCAGGCGGCGCAGAGTACGCCGGGAGCTGTAGTTCCCGCTGCGCCTCCATACAAGGGGGCGGGGTCGGGGCTTTCTCGTGCAGCGGCCGTTGGTGCCGGCCCCGCGGCGGGGAGAGCCATGGCGGGTGCCGAGCGGAAGAAGCACGTCCGGTTTGCTGCACCGGGACAAGCGGCGGCAACGGCAGCGGGGCCGCGCTTCCCCGCCGCGCCGCGCGCGGAGGTGGCCATGGTCGGCGGCGGCTGGCGGGGCGGCCGTGGCGGGGACAGAACGGTGCTGCGGTGGTGCATCTCCGGCGCGCTGTGTGCGGCCTTTCTGGGGCTGGTGAGCGTGGGGGGGAGCGGGTGGGCTGGCGTCCCCCGGCACCTGCGGCCCGGTCTCCGTCAGCTCAGCCCAGGACGGGAGGAGGGAAAGGGGTGTGCGAGGTCACCCCCGTCCAAATGTGTTGCAGGGGATGAGCATCGCGTTGCTGGGGCCCACGTTCCAAAACCTGGCCGCTAACGTCCATAAGAACGTCAGCGACATCTACTACATCTTCGTGGGCCGGTCCCTGGGCTACCTGGGCGGATCGGTGCTGGGCGGGCTGCTCTTCGACTGCATGAACGCCCCGCTCCTTCTCGGTGAGTGCCGGCCGCCGCCAAAACCCCGGTCCCCCCCCGGCGGGAACCGTTGGGACGGGTTTGCCCTCTCCCTCCCCGCCCTCTTCGCGCTGTCTGAGGGGTAGTCGCGGCGTCGAGACGGGACACTGGGCCCCGGGGCGTGAGGTGCCGCTCCCCATAACCTGCGGCAGTTCCACTGTTGCTCGCTGTCGCGACAGTCTGCTGGGTTCGTGTGTCCGGGCATCGCAGCTGTGCAGCAGGGGTTCCAAGTGGTTGGGCGCACTGGGCTTAGTAACTGTGGTAACTGTTATGAACTGATAAAACCTGTTTGGATTGACCAGAAGGTGCAGAAAGAGTACAGTTGGCTTAAGTTTTACCCTTCATATCAAATAACAGGCTTAGTATAGATCCTCTTGGGATATACATGTTTCTATAACGTCACTGTGAAATGCATGAACAAAATGGGGAAGCTGGGCTTTGGCTTTCGCATGCACACACCAGAGACCTCGAGCAGTCATGCTGAGGCAAGGGGAGAGCTTTGTAAACCCCTTCCTTTTCTGAAAGCTTGCCAGGAGTGATCAGGTTCACATATAGGACAAAAGTACTGAGATTATGACTGGAGGGCCTTAACTGAATTAGAACTTATTTAAAGTGGAAAAACATAAAGTAGCACCTGTGATGGTGGAAACTTGCTGCTCAGTTGCTGTCTAGCTATGAAAACATATAAACTTCATAGGAGCCCTTGTTTCTGATTGTAACAGTTTTCTGGCCACATGGAAACTGGCCTATAAGAGCATGGGACTAGCTTTGCTCTGGCAATGTGGGGCGCCCAAGTTGCTTCTTTTACAGTTCTGTTAGTGTCTTGTTCAGGTTGAGCTTTTCACAGTTGCTGTGAGCACATACCTAAAATAGTAGAAGCTCTGTCTTGTTTTCCTTTCGAGTGCCATAATGTCAGCATATGCCTTTGTGCCCTAAGTTAGGGACTAAAGCAGTTACTGGGGCTCTCTCTTCTCCTTCTCCTTCCCATGCTTTTACTCAGGGAGATTCAGACAGAACTAGGTCTTTCTATAGGACTGTGCTGTAGTCACAGGAGGAGTTCAGAGGGTATGAGAAAATCCATTTTCCGTTGCTAGTTTTTGAACTGTGTCTCTTCTTATCCATGTATGCCTTTTTCCTGCTGTCAGGAGCAGTCATGGCATACAGTATCTGTCTTCCTTTCCCCTCGCACCTCTTTGTCTTCATCTTCCTGGCTCAGTTCTTATTTGATCTTGTTCTAAGATACCTTTGGTCTCCTCCCTGTTCTTTATTCCTCTCCTGCAGAACACCAGTAAAGCGGGTTTCCTTCAGCCTCCTTGTGCATTTGACAAGGTCAGAGTTGCCTGTGTGTGGCATAGGAGACTTTACCTTCCACAATGGCGTTGATACACCTGTGGAAGTTAATGTTAATTGAAATAGTTTAGTACTTGTTTCTGTTCCTCAGGTACCACATAGGATCGCTCTCTGTCAGCGGCACTTGGAAGATAATTTCATCTCCTGATCTGTTCAAATTTGGTAGTACTTATGGCAAAACCACAGTGAAGCAACCGAATCATCTCTCATGTTTATTGTCTGAGAGCTGCTATAAGAGATTATGGCTGGTGTAGTTTACCTCCCACTTTTGAACAGAGAAAAAAAATGAGGACATGATCTGTCAAGGAAGTGTTTAGGTTCCAATCTTGAGGCATAGAGATGGAATGGATGACTGAGAAGTTGCTGAGAAGTTATTTCTCAGCTCTGAGTGGCGCATCTGTGAAGCTGTGCTTAATGCACCCCATCTTTAGCTTTTTCTCTCTGCATCTTGGTATTCCAGCCTTCAAAAATGTCCTGAGATGTGTATGCTGAGTACCTGGGTAGGGCTCTAGGGCTCTGGATATTTATTTTTTCCTTTGTTAATGATGATGTTGTTTTTGTTTGGAATCATAGATTCATAGAACAGTTTGGGTTGAAAAAGACCTTAAGATCATCTAGTTCCAACCCCCCTGCCATGGGCAGGGATGTATCACAGTAGCCCATGTCAACCAAGCCTCTGTCCAACTTGGCCTTGAGCACTGTCTGGGATGGAGCATTAACCCAAGGTCTTAATTAGATCAGTCCCTACTGATCTGTAAGTATTTGCCCCACCTAAGCATTGATTTGAAAAATAATAGAGATATCTGAACTGGTACAGGCTTTCTGAAAACCTAATACTGTGTATGCAAGTTACTAATTTCAGGTTATTTTACTGTGTGATTATAAGCATAGAATTTAACTGCTGAACTTCTTCCCAAATGGGAATGAAAACAATTTCCTTTGCTAAAAAATATTTTTTGAAATGGTACATTGCAGAACTGATACAGTTAATGAGCTGCTGCTACATTTATGAAGAGAAATTTTGTAGTTCTGTGTCTTAAAACTCCAGAAAGCCTTTGGAATACTTCTCTCATCTGAGAACAGAAAATAAATGAAAGTCAGCATTTGTGCATGGAGCTCGCTTGCTGGCCAGGGTGCAATCTCTTTCTAGGTTTCTACGAATTCCGTGATTTGGGCTCTTTTAAAATAGAGCCAAATCTAACGCTCTGTAGTTCTTGGAGGGATCACTTCATACTATTCAAGGCCACATTTTGCTGCTTTTGTGGTAAAGTAACATTTCTAGATAAGTTTGCAGAAGATACTGAAATAGCTTTTATAAATCAAAAGCTTGCAGAGGAATTGTTAGTGGTGTAGCAGCAGATGCTGCTCCTTTTGCAAATAAAGCTGTAGCAAAACAGGTTTTTCATGCAATGTTTAGATTGTGTTGAAATTCCTGTTTTTCCAAGACAGAAATTACTCTTCTGAACTCTCTCAGCTGCTCTGCTAATCAGGAATTGAGGTAGCTGGGTTACATCACCTCTTAAGATTATCTGTAACTTTAAAAATTATGAGTTTATTTGTATTTCTTGGGTTTCTGTAGGTTTTGTAGTTTAAATGGAAACTCTGGGTGTTTTGTGTTTGATTGTTTTTTTTTTAACCTTTCTAGCATTATCCATGCTTGGAACAACTGTTGGTCTGTATGGGATACCCTGGTGTAAGAAATCCCTGCTGCTAACTGTCTTGATGTCAGTTATTGGAGCTTCCATGGGAATTCTAGACACAGGTAAGGGACCACGTGCTCTGACAGTTCCTTCACTGCACTCATTGGAAACTCCAAGCTTAACAAAACCGTTGCTGATATTTCATGTGACATGTCTTGAATTAAAAGAAGGAGCTGTTTTACTTGGCTGGGGTTCATGGATTATTCTGATCCCAAGACTTAACAGTGTTTGTGTCTTTCTAACTGATGTGGTAGCTGGGTACCTCCTGCTTCCTGGAGATCAGTACACGTTTCAGTGGGCAGTTACAGCATAAGAGAAAGTGTCAGGTGCTCTTTAAGCAGTGTTTGCTTTAGGTTACTCACCTGCAGGAAGCTGGATGTGTCACGGGTCATTAGCATTAGCTGGAGGTATGTTAGCCCTGGGTGAACAGGCCCCGGGTGTTTGAGAGTCTTACAGTTGCTGTGTTGGAAAGTTGCCCACCTAAAGCTGGGTAGGCAGCATTTGGGGATTCACAGGAGACGGGTACTGCCATAGCTGGCATCCATCTCCTGAATTAAGGAATATTTACTGCCCTTGGCCAGCCTCAGTTAAGTGCTTGGGAATACAAATTTACTGTATTTCTCAAACTGAAAGTCTGTGGTTTGTGCATGCTGCATATAGCCTGGGGAAAAAAAATCCCTCACTTCTGTTGGAAACCTGCTCAAACTCAATTTGTTAGTAGAGATTCCCTATGGAGGAAGATGTACTGGTAAAGTGCAGAGTGAGTGTCTGCAGGTGTGGCTGGAAAGGTCAGTTGTGCCAGAGATATGACAAAGAAACTCTTACAGGAATTACTTCATTGGACATGGCTTAGGATGGGTTAGCGATGGCTGGCAGTTTGGATCAGGAGGCAAGGCCACCTGAAGAGACTTAAGCACGCTTAGAGACGTATGGGTGATGGTGGTGGACTTGCAGATAGAGATCAGGAAACAGCCAAGAATACGCTGGCAGCGGCGTGCTGGGGAGTTGCTATAGAATGTGGAGCTGCAGCAGGCAGCGCTCACCTGGCACCTTAGCAGTGCTCTGCCAGCAGCATGCTGGCTTGCCTGGCTTACTGCGGGAGCCTGTGGTTACCAGCCAGCAAGGTACTGCTGGATCTGGTTGACCGCTTTGAGGGCAGGCTTATTTCTGAGAAAGAGCTGGCTGGTGTATTATCCTAGCTACCCACACAGCTCTGGAAGCATCTCAGCTGGGGCCTGGTTTTGAAGACTTCGCTGGTAGGCAATACAGAGGAACAATAGCTGCACATGTGAGCCATCTGCTGTAACTCTGTGGATTTTGAGGGAACTGTGTTAACAGTAAGAAGAACATGATACGGAATCCAGCAGTGAAAAAGGTGGTTTTTCATGTCACAGGTTATGCTAAATAACCTGAGTGCAGAGGTGTACTTGCTACCTCTGGCAGGATCATTATACATGGCACTTGGTTTAAAAATCCTTCATATGGGAAAATCTTGTCAGGTAATTGTATAAATGTCTCCAGTGGGTGGATGTGCTTTTGGTTGTCAGAGCCCTGAGGCAGGGAGGCTTCCCAATCTGAGCAGAAATAGCAGGAGAAACTCAGAGCAAGGCAGCAGAGTGTAACTGAGTTAATTCATTTGGAAGAGTGCTGCTGTACGATTACTGTTTTCCTGCGTTCTTCTCAGGAACTAATTAAAAACACCTGAGACCTTATTCTCTAGCATTATTGTTATCCGAGGGTGTTGTAGGTTGGTCTTTGCAGAGGTATAATTGCTTCTGAAAAGTCATGTGAGTGCACTTGAGGTAGTCCCAGCCCCTCAGAATCAAGTGATTCTTGATGTTTCCTGGGATGTTGTTTAATGAGGCCTCTGGTTCTTCACCTTGTGCATTGTGGCTTTTAATATTTACATAAATGAGAAGCAGTTAAATTTGCTCTTTTGAAAAAAGGCTGAAAAATGCTGCAGATTGTCAAGTAGGGTAATTAGAATCATAGAATGGTTTAGGTTGGAAAAGACCTTCAAGACCATGGGGTCCAGTTGTTGTTAAACCAGCACTGCCAAGTCCACCACTGAACTAATATCCCTTAACACCACATCTGCACATCTTTTAAATCCCTCCAGGGAGGGTGACTCCACCGCTGCCTGGGCAGCCTGTTCCCTTTTGGTGAAGAAACCCTTTTGGTGAGGAAATCTTTCTTAATATCCAATCTAAGCCTCCCAAGGCACAACATTAAATGCAGCCTTGGCAGCTGGAATAAGCCATTGCATGGCTCCTCATTTTGACTCTGTGAATTCCCTCCTAAAGCTCAAGCTCTTACATGGGTTGAAGGTGCTCAGGGGCAGAATTTCAGTTAACTACAGTTTTGTATATTGTATTTGCTAAACCTGCTGTTATTGCACATTGCAACTCTAGGTTATGGTTTGTTTTGTTTTGTCTTTCTTTAAAACAATATCTGTTTTCAGACTGAAAGAACTGAATCCTCCTCTTTGATCTGCAGGTGGCAATGTACTGGCACTGAACACATGGGGAGCAGAGGCTGGGCCTCATATGCAGGCCTTGCACTTCAGTTTTGCTGTCGGTGCTTTTGTGGCTCCAATCCTGGCTAAAATGGCCTTGGGAGGCTCCGACTCTAAAGACTTCGCAGCTGCTGAAAAGTCAAACCAGTCTGTGCTGAGGTCTGTGCCGACAACATCGGCTGCATCTATTATGTCAGCACTGAGAGACCGTCTGGGTGCAGATTTTCAGTGGTCCTATGTTGTCATAGGCACCTATCTTCTGTTAGTCTCTTTCTTCTTTTTTATCTTGTATTCAAAAGGCAGCTCAGCTCGGGACAAATCCAAGGCCTCTCTGCAGAAGTGCGTGTTTGCCAAATACCACTCTGCACTTATCAGTCTCCTGTTTGTGTTCTTCTTCTGCTACGTGGGAGCGGAGGTCACGTATGGCTCCTACATATTTACTTACGCAAAAGTCTTTGCCGAGATGAAAGAAAATGAAGCGGCCGCTTTGAATTCTGTCTTCTGGGGCACGTTTGCCGCTTGCAGAGGAGTGGCGATATTCTGTGCTGCTTGCTTGTACCCCGGCATCATGATCCTGGTGAGTATCATAGGCTCTGCTGTCTCCTCTTCGTGCTTGGCCTTCTTTGCGAGGTCCCCAGCCTTGCTCTGGGTTGGAACTGCTGTGTATGGAGCATCAATGGCCACCATCTTTCCCAGCGGCATTTCCTGGATAGAGCAGTACACGGTGGTGCAAGGGAAGTCGGCTTCTCTGTTTGTGACTGGTGCCGCGCTGGGCGAGATGTGCATCCCTGCTGTGGTGGGCTATCTTCAGGGCAGGTTTCACCATGTCCCTGTGGTTATGTACACCGCCTTGGTAACGTCTGCAGTCACTATGGTGCTCTTCCCTCTCATGTACAAATTGGCCAACTCTCCCAGAGAGAGCAGCTTGAAAGAAAGGAGTGAGAGTGAGGACCGGAAAGCTTTGTTGTCAAATGTGGGGCTTAATGAGGATGAAGAGGATGAGGAGGATGCGGGGGAGTGGAATGAAGCAGACTTTGAGGTAATAGAAATGAATGACACGCTGAGAAACTCTGTGATAGAGACCTCCCGTAAGATACCAGGGGACTCTCCAGCCAAAGTCTCTCTCCATCCCCGGCTGGACAACGTGTTGTGTGATTCCCCTGTGGTTGCTGGTGGCTCCCCTGGGAGGAAAAATGTGAACACTGACCGGGAGAAGAACGACTGAAGTAAAAGGTGACTGTTTTTAAAGAGAAATGGAACTGAATTGCAGCTATTGTTGTAGAGTGGTTCAAGACTCCTTTCACAGTGGTGCAGCGCTCAGCATGTTCGTCTCTTTCATTTTCAGCCTGCATTGATGTGGCTCGGAGTGGGGAAGTCCACAATGACATGAATGGGGTGATGACATAAAATGTAGAGACTGTGCCAAAACCGTTAAAACATAAAGAGATGTTTTCTAAATGTGAGGCATGTATTGAAGTAGTGTGTGCCGAAATAAAAACTAGCAAGGAAAGAAGGGGACTGCTCACACCACTCAGGTTGTTTGGGGTGGGTCCAGAGGTGCTCAGTTCCTGGTCGCAAAACATTTGCATGAGAGAGGAGAGAAATCCATTACCTGTGATGCTGAACCTTGTTACCTTGTGACAGGGGAATGCTTCTACTGCATTGAAAGTTTGTGTGTGGCGTAAACCAGGAAATCAAGTCAAATTTCATGCTGCAAACTGGGTAACCTGTTGGCAAAGGATATACTTTCCTGGTTCTGTCACTAAGATGGGGTAAGCCCCCTGAAAACCAATTGTCAGGAGCAGAGAAGTATGCCTTTGGGTCATTTAAAAGTGTGGTATGGGAAGGGAGACAAAATGGGTCCTATTAATCACTGTAATGCGCAATTCTGATTTACTCGTTAAACAGTGGTGGCAAATCTCAATAGTCTGAAGTACCTGTGATTGTAATGACTGCACTGCCACTGGAATCAACCAGTGTACAAAGATGATAAAATCATCTGTACATGCAGATTACTTAATAGATGTTATTGAGATAGGGATGTGGTATTTTAAGCCAGTTGTTGAAATTAAGGTTCTAATAACTTTTCTGACTTCCTGTGCCAAGACTTTATTTATCAAGGGATGTGTTAAAATGAGGAGACTGAGGGAGTTCTTGATGGGAGGATCCTTCTGGGTTGTCCTGTACCATGATTCCTCACCCCTTTCCAGTTTGGATTTTGTTTCTTTGAGTGGCAATTTACAGGTGGACACTTCCTAGCAGAGCAGCAGCAGGAGTCTGTGAGGACGGAGACCCCAGTGGTGAGCCCTCACCAGAAGAAACTGCAGCAGCTCATGGCAGACTGCCTCTGAACAGTCTGTTTGTCTACTTGAAGCTCTCTACATTTGTAGGTTGAGTATTGGTTTTTCTTAAGGCAGTGTGATCAGAACGTGCTCATGTTTAGGGTCTTTTTACTTTGACTTTTAATAGTATTTTTCTTGCTAAAAGAAGTTTCACTTATTAATGAAGGAGCTGTAGATGTAACAGCACAGGACTGCAGGTGTTCTGTGTACTTTCAGGCCTGGTTTTGTACCCTCTCTCATCTCCTGAGTGTACAACCTGGAATCTTGCGGCTCTTTCCTTTCTTCTGCAAAGTTTGTAAGAAGCAGGAATCAACCTGTAGTGAAAATGCACAATTGTCTTGCATCTTGCCGTGTCGCAGGGCCTCCCTCTCCCTCTGCTGTCAGCACTGAAATGCCCTTGTGTTTTTTCCCAGTTTCCCTTTTACCTTGTGTGTTTATGTGCACTTCTGTGGCATCTTACCCAGTGCAATGCATGAACCTGCACTTAAAATAACCCTTTGTTTCCCTTGTTAGGCTCTTCTTTGTTTAAACTAATGGTAAATGTTTTTCAGTGTAAGGCCATCTCCTGGCCTTGGTACATGCGAGACCATTTGTTCAACAGAAGCAAGTCTGTGTCACCCTGTGTCTTTTGTTTTATATGACAGCAAATGGCACAGGGAGTGACTACACAAGTGCAATGAAGCCCGAGTGGCTTCAACTTTTTCCCCTTTTTTCTGCTGCAGTAACTGCTTTGTGTGTAGAAAGTGGGAGGTGTTACCTGATGGAAAGTACAGGTCCCTCTGGTGCATGGGGGGAGTGTGAACTGCTCCTGCTCTGCTTTTGGGGTAGTCTCCTCTGACAGAGGCTGTTGACTTTGGTGCAGGACAAACACACGAGATACAGAAACAGGTCCGTGGCAGCTCCCTGCTGTCCCTGCAATCCACAGGCTATATCTGAATTGACAGTGATGTAAAAAAGTTTCCCTGTACCTGAGACCATGTTGCCAGAAGCAAATTACTTTGAGAGACACACCTGGCAACCAGGAAGATCTTAAATAATCCATACACTAGTTTTTGGCATGAAATTCCAAAGTGGAATGTCCTGCACATAAGATTGTTCTCAGGGACAGTTTACACATCTTCCATAATCAAGTACTAAAAAGAACCAGAAAAATTAAAGCTGCACTGGGAAATACGCTGTACCCTCTTTGAACCTTATCCAGTTACTGCATGCTTTTCTGACTGTCTTCACAACCAATGCAAAAATATTGTGCAAAACAAAGATTTTATTTTATTTTATTATTATTTATTTTATTAACCTCTAACTCATTTGAATTCATCCCCATTTTCCTCCCTCCCAGAAGCAGGAAGCCCATATAAGTAGGATTGGAGCAACAGCCTGGAATGTTGAGGCAAGAGCAGCCTTTTGCCAAAAGTTAAGGATCCAAAAAAGCACTGGCAGGAAGAGAGTTAAATTATCTTGACTGGTACCGTGCAGCATCATGTCAGATTGGTACTGGAGGCCTTTGGATGATGTCTAAATTTTGGGCCATCTTAGCAGGCACTTGGAGCCTTCACTGTCTTAATTCTGAAACGGAATATACTTCCAGGACTTGTTCTCCTTGTCCCTTAGCAGCTGACTCTCAATAGCGGGGGCTGCCCTGTAATGACAATGGAATGTTTAAAGCAGCGTAAGATTAGACGAGATCTAGGACATTTTTAGTTGTGAGCCCAACTCACAGCATTTCAGACATCCTTGATAGCCAAGGCTGTAGTTTTCCTAGTTTGTGGATTTTGGCATTCCTCAAGGCTTGTTTTCAGACAGTGAATGTTAGTTTTCACATGTTTAAATTTCTGTCCAAAGTAAATTTTATCCTGGCATATAGAGGTAGAGGATCTGTTTACAGTGTGGCTCTAGTTATGGTGTCTTTTACATTACAGATCCTCTAGAAAGCTTAAACACTTCAACTTACACATTATTCTGGGCTGAACTAACTTGAAGCAAGCTCTATTAACTTCACCCTTCCCTTATGCTAGAGAAGTCATCTCTCTGTTGAGGACAAGAGCTGTGGTCCATGGACTAGAAATGTGAATTTAGTAAGGAAGACTCCTGTTTTCCATCCATAAACCCAGGAGTGGGTTGAAAATGAGCACGTGCCCGTTTGCTCCAGGGTAGGAGGTAACCTGCAGCTAAGTGTCCTTTTGTTGGTTTGTGTTAGTTTTGTTTTCCTCCGAGGCACTGCCATATGGTTAGCACTTGCACTTTGATTCTGCACATGAGCAATGCTGGAATGCAAGAGCAGGCAGTTTTGTGCCTTGATTTTACTTTTTTTTTTTTTAGTTACTTTGCATAAAAATGCATTGCAGTCTGTGGCTGGTTTAGGTTTTATGCTGCTTGGTGTGGGTTTACATCCTATGGTGTGCTGTGAAATTTAACGGGCTGACTTGTATCCTGAATGTAATAAATTCTTAACAGGAGAAGACACTCAGGTTCCATGATGTAAATAAAGTTTTGTTCTATTTTTCAAAGTTACTCTGGACTTGTAGATTTGAAACTTACTCCTGTTGTGACTACAGGAGAACTGGCACCGCTTCTCTTTGGATGTGGGGAAGGGCTCCAAGAGATGATACTGAAGTTTCAGATCCCAAAGCTTAAGCTGGGTTTGCAATTTACTTGAGCAGTCTGGGTTTTGTGACTGTTTGTGGGCCACCCAAAGGCAACAGAGGTGGCTAGAGCTGAGGGCAAATATAAAAACCCATGTAATTCTTACCATATCATTTTATTCAACTTTAATATGGTTTCCATTATTAACTTCTAAAACAAAATGATTTCCAGTTTAGAAAACAATGCACTGACCACATAATTCCTTTTCCATTTTATACAGTTATACAAATATTCTAAATACACATTTTTGTCAAGATGGTGGCAAATAAGATTTAACTGTACAGTACATAAGGAAAGAAAATATTTTAAGCATATTTAGAAGCAATAGAAATGTCTATACAAAACAAGCAAAAATGGAATAAAATTTTATATTTAAAGTATTGCAACAGTCCCACAGGTTTGTAACAAAAATGTCTTTGCACAGTTCCTCACAATGCCCCATTAATAGCTAAAGCAAGACAGCAATTCTTAGAAAAAAATGTTTTAAAATGCTACACATGATACTACTGCCTGCACAGTCTGATCAAAATAACCATCTACTTGGAATCAAGCAAAACTCAGGAGGAGATATACCAACCAACTTTAAAATTATCTGTATAAAAGTCATTGCACATTATTTTACTCAGTTGTTTGAAAAGTAAAAAAGTGTATTTACAAAATATTTCGCAGACAAAATTATAAAGTGAATGGATAATATCGAAGTAACACGTCTTGATACTGACAGTTCAAGAACACACACGAATGGTTGTATCGGTTCAAGAGGTTTTCAGTACTCCTTCCGCCAGGAAGTAAACTTGACTTCTACTTGAAAATGGATTTACAAGATGTTACACATAGCTATTTAATTTCAACATCAGCATTAGAAAACAGTATGTTAGAAACATGAAAGAAGGAAGAAATTTTTACATCTTAAAAAGTGAGCTGTTCATAGGTCAAATGTTTGTTGGTTTTTAATTTAGTTAGGATAAGCGTTCATTATTCTTCAGGTAATAAACAGTTAAAATGGCAATCCTGGACTAGATGAGAATTGAAAAGCACCATGCACAATAGTCTTAGTGTGGTAAACACTGAAGGGACAAAAAAGTAGCACCTGGAATCCTGTAACACAGCTTGTTTAAAACTGGTCGAGCAGCTGGCGAAGGTACGGTGCCTTGGACAGTTCTCTGCTGACTCTGGAGAGCTTGAAGAGTACGGGACAGTTGAGGGAGACACACTGGATATGTCGATCAAAGCAGCCTGTACAGTTCTTGCATATCTAGATTGCATGTCAAAAAGCAAAACAGATTATTGCAAACTTGGAAGAAGGAAGGTATAAATCACTTGTGAAGTTCTCAGCACTAATAGCAGAAGAGGGCAACCCCACCAGCACCAACCTTTACGCAACACAAGAGGGCTCCAGAGCAGCTCTGCTCTGGGTGTGGAGCCTCTCCTGCAGCTGCCAGGCTGCTCCTTGTGCTGCCGGTGCTGGTGCTGGGCTGGCAGCACCTGCCCTGCGCTGGGCAGCAGAGCTGAGCAGCTCAGGCCTCAATCCTGCTCATGGAGTTCTACTCGGATGTGGTGGCATGTGTTAAAGTAAGGTAAATGAGTGGATTAACTGGGGCAGTGTGTTATATCCATGATAAACTTGGCCTGCAGAAAAAATTTCTACTGAAACAAGACAAAACTGTTAGTCTGCAGTTATACACAGGAAAGGGACTGGATAAACTACTCCTGTTTCAAGTTAAGCTTCCAGGTCGGGCTTAATCAATCCCAAGACAGAAATGCACAGGGCACACAGGTTCCACTGCTCTCCTCCTTCATGGATATTCCTTAATGTAGTTAATCCTGCTTGAAAGTACTTTTAACATGAAATACCGGATGGAATCAAATAGCAGCAGGCACAGGGTTTCCAAAGGTAGCTGCCTTCAGAAAACTAAAGTCCCCTCTTCGCTATTTTATTTTTATTCCTTTCCAGCATCTGCCACCTCTGATGGTTCTTCCAAAAACTCAGCAAGTTGCTTCCAGCCACACTTGTGTTTTGTAACATCAAAACGTGACACAGCGTTACTGCACCATTTGCACCGTTTCAACAACAAATCAAAATCTTAGCCCTTTGCTTTTAAAACTGGTTCCTTTCCTTCTTTCCACTTTAAACCTATCTGGGTATCAGCAAGCCTCTTGGCCAGACCTGTATCAGCACTGAATCCCTGTGGGCCGTAAATTCACACTGACAGCAGCTGGAGAGGAGCCACCCTGCTCAGCCATGTCCCACACATGGCACCTTGGAGGATGCCAGGTCTCTGACCTGCAACTGTGACCAAAAGGAACGGGATTTAAACCATTTATTCCAGGTTTGTAAGCACTAGAAGAACCTCAGAAAAAGCCCACCCTTGTTCTGTTGTAAGGCTGTGGCTGGTTTGAATGCAAGGGACCACCTAAAATGGTACTTTAGACACTTTCTACATTCAATTTGTGTAGAGGGGAAAAGTCTCTGGCTTTTATCTGTGGCACATAGCTTTTTAGTGTGTTTTAAACTAATGTAGCATTCAGTGTTGTATCAGTTTTCTGCTGGCTCCAGCATGTCTATGATGTGGTAGGGCCAAGAATGTAAACTGTGAAGGATATATACATCTTCATATTAAAATGAGACAGACACTCTTGGAGAGGCTGAGTCATCAGATGCTGGCTACAACACTGATCCAAGGCCTTGCCAACCCGTTGGGTGTTGCAGAGACAAAAGACTCTTCTGATGAGAGCACTGACCCTTCCGTGGGGCTGACCCCATCTGCCCAGGTCTGAGTTATTCCAGAACAAAAGCAATGTAAAAGGTTCAGAGTACCACAGAACACTGCAGAACAGGCATCACCTTCCTCTATTGCCGTTTACAATGCAGGTCACAGCAAATGTTACCAAATACACACTAATGCAGTATTTATGAATAGTGAACGGTAATGGTTTTCTAGCAACAGAACCCCATGGGAACCTATCAAATCAATGCCTACACTATGGGAACATTCATATCCCTGCAATTCAGACAAGTCTTGAACACCGTTCACATGCTACTGCTAAAAATACATTGTAACAGAAATATTAATGATAAGCTACAACAGTAGGAAAATGAGGTGAGGACAGACACCTTTCTGCAAGGGGAGGCACTGTGCTCTGCTAGAATATACTGATGAGCACCGTGAGCCATCCTCT